TAACATGCAGAACCTCAAAAGCATAGGAGACGCTAAAGAAGGCCAATGCCAAACCAGACGAATAGTAAAATTAACACATAAACTTATGTGGAAACCGCAAAATATGACGTCTCATAGACGAACTCGCCGTTGTCGTCATTTCCCAGTTCAGGGTTTTGGTCTTTGAGCTTTTCTGTTAGGAGGACATGTCCCAGTTCATGCCATTATGGTAGTTGTATTGTGGATAAGGTTTTGGGTTGGGGTGGATTGGGTTTAGGGTTATGTCTTGGATAAGGTTATGGGGTTGGGTGGTTGCTTTGGTTAGGAGTTGTCTTATGGATTAATGTTTGGATTGTAGGGTGCGCTTTGTGTATTGCAGGTTTCAAGGGTGGATTTATCAGAAGGTTGAGAAATGGGGCGAAAGCAAATGGGGGGTATTGGATGCGAGGTGTGGGGTCAGCACCTGCTTGCACCTTGGCCCCACAAAGGTCTAAGCCCCAAGCTCTGATCGCCAGGCTGTCACACACCTTTGCTGGAACCGCCAAGCCATGAAGCATCAACCCCATGCCAGGAAAGATCCAAACACGCAGACCGCACAAAGAATGACGAAGAGGTCCTTTCGGGTTCGCGATGGTGACGCAAAATTTGCAGTCTTGGACTGCAGATTTGAAGGCCTCCACGGACAAACATCGTTGGGCTTTTGAGTTTCCCGCACGGTTTGCCCCACCTTGAAGGAGGTGTAGAGCACGAGACCGCAAACCCACTTCCCTCATGCAAAATTTACCGGCACCTGCCAGCGAAGCTACAACCAATGATCCTTTGCAGCCTAGATAATTACCCTGATTGAAAGGAACGTGCTAGGTTCAACAAGTCCTAAACTCTGCAAAAACCTGAACCTGAAACCTAGAAGCCCCTTTCGGAAAATCCTAAACGCGTCGAAAGTACAAGGCCTTCAGGTCTTAGATTCCAAACACCCTATGCCCTTAGCACTCGATTGAATCTGCGCCTGCGACACGATCGCCTCGTTAACGGCGGCGAGCAACTCGTCGTCAACGCAGCCGGCGGCCTCGGGAGTCGCGTTGCAGGTTCCCGGAACCCTAAACTCCAAACTAACCGTAAACCGCAAACACCATCAAGCCTAACCTCTAAATCCTTGAAATCCTCATCCTTCAGTCCTCTTCCTTAAAACTAAACCCTGGATCCTAGAAGCCTTGCGCCCCGCTCTGAACAAGGGTTGGGCCTTTCTGTTTTTGGGAGGCCTTGGGCTTTGAGGCCCTAGGAATTCAGTGTCTGAGCCACTTCGGGTTTGGAATGGCGAGTAAGATGGAGGGCTAGTCTACGCTGCATGACTCTCAGGATTTTGGATGGAGTGATCTTCTTGATGATGCTTTATGTTTGGGGCTTTAAATACAGTATAGGCTCAAGAGCCTTACGAGTTTTTGTTTTGGGTGGAGTGTTTTGGGCTGAAGGTTCAACGATCAGGGTCTGGTGTTGAAAATGCTCGTCGCAATCCAACTGCATAAGAGACATACTTAACAAAGCTCGGCAGGCCATTAGACCAGCCATAAACCCCAGATTCCGAAGGCCCCTGAAACCCCAGATCATAATCCGTAAAGCCATGAAAACCCTAAACTCCAAAGCAATAAACCCCAGAACCCGAAAGCCCCCTGAAATCAGAATATCCCAGAACCCAACAGCAACAAAACCTAAAACCCTGACGCCAAGCCCTAAGAACTAGAACCCTGAAGCGCAAAACTTCAGAACCCTGAAGCCATCAAACCGGAAACCTAAAGCCCTTCTGACCCTAGAACTTAAACTCAGAGGCACGTTACATGCGACCATGTTGCGGACACATACTGATTTATGTCGGCGGGCTAAGTGATTAGTCAGTGATTCCCATTAGTTAGCACAGTATTAACACCCTAAACCCTAAACCCGTTTCAATGACTATCCAATGATCTGTCCGTGTTTGGGTTCGCCTCCCTCCGGCCGGGATGTGATCATTCCGCGTGATTCTCCTACTTGTCGGGTAACAGGGGGAACTGAAGGTTAACCTTTTTGGTTATATAGGGACTATACTACCCAAAAAAGGTTAAAGGTTGCCTACTCTACTACTAGGTTCTTCTGTGACGGTTCAACGTGGCATTTTCAGCGATTGGCGGCCGGACGGGCCCAGGGCTGCAAATCATCCAAAAGTATTACAGCATACATACATAATCGCACATGACCATTTTAGAGACTAGCAGCCATGAGGCCGTCGGAACATGTAATCCTAGTCCAGCTACACCCCAAGTTGGAAAAAAACACATTGATCCTCAACCGCTGCGAACTGTGAGTTTTGTCGAAGCTTCTAAAATCCCTCTGGGCTTCGCTCCGGCATGCCATGGTGCGAGGCCGAACGCGAGGTCTGAAAAGAGCTTGCCGTAGGGTCATCATGTGGGGTTTAGGAGTCGTTTCTCAGGGCTTCATCTGCTGATCGGGTCCAGCCTTCGGTCTCATGGATCTTGTAAGGTTTTGTAAGAGTGAAGGGGTTTAGGCTTCGTTGCTCAAGAATTGTTGCGGCCTTCCTTGTGGGGTTGAAGCTTCAGAGAGTTTGGGCTTCGATTCAGGGGTTTCTGTATGGTTTGAGGGGCTGCAGGGGTTGTTTTTAAGGCCGCTTCTGGAGAATCGGAAGCCTGACAAGTGTATGATGCTAGAAGCTGGCGGCCCTTTTCAGAGGCGTGCCTTTTCGGTATAACGTCGAGGTCCCCAAAATCATGTTCAGTGTTTAGAATTTTCAGTATAGCTACAGTAGAAAGACACCAAAATCCGAGTCTACGTATATGGGCCTTTAAACCTTTAGCATATAGTCTGATTCCTCCTCGCGACTGGGGTTTATGGGTGTCGGTGGTTTGGTCTCTGCAAGGCTTTGGATGTGTCTGTGTGTCTGTGTGTCTGTCTGTCTGCCTGGCTGAATGGCTGTCTGTCTGTATGTCTGTCTGCCCGTCTGTGCAGCGGCACATGCGCACGCGTGAGCACCCAGCTTACCTGGTGTCTGCTGCTCCTGCGGTCTCGAGCGTGTTTGTTTTATAGCTTTAGGGTTCCAGGCTGGGTGTGAATTACCCCGTAAGATTCCGAATTCCTAATGATCACATTCTCCACAAGGTAGTAGACTACAGTTACTGTTGCCCCAAACTCGAGTACCTCGTTGCTCTCTGGGGTTTAGGGTTTAGAGTAGGCACCAATTAGAATAAGGTTTTGGGGTGGATGACGAGGCAACCGTACAAGGACCATAAGGGGATTACCAGCTACGCCCCTCTAATTATGGTAGGGATTACCTCAGGGTGCATGGGTTACGGCTTCGAGATTACGTGACAGATGGATCATCATAAAGAACAATAACATATCATCCACGATACTCGTTAAACAATAATGTAAAATATACAACAGCAGAGACCGGGCCTTTCTTTCAAACGACTCGCCACGGCCTGCCTGGGCGTTCGTTGCACTGAAGTTAGACAGACAGACGGCTTAGGGTTCAGGGCTTAGGGACTCTGACCAACGTTAAGCACTAGGCACCAAACTTTCAAATCCAATAAACCAAAACCCAAGGAAAATCGTGCTAGGCCTTGGGGCTTTTGATTCAGGCCACGAAAGGGCATGGAGGAGCTTTTTTTGAAAACGACGGATGGGGTCGAGAGCTCGCAGCCTGAAAAGGCCTGGAAGGCCATTTCGCGCTTTCCTAGGCCCCACAACCCGAAACCCCACAGTGAACACGTAACTCCTGTACCGGGACGCTCAAGCCTCGGATGAGCTGCCTAGCCAGTCTATGATCCAAGGAATCTATATACTGGAGCGGTCCACTTACGGCGGAATCGTTGGCTTCGCCTTCACACGTTCTTGCAAACCCTTAACGCCCTTAACCCCAAAACACGAAGCTCTGTAGCCCTGCCTAAACCTTGAACTTAACCCGGAAAGCAGGAGGAAGCGGCGGGGCGTTGAGCTGTTGGGACTTGAAGCTCCGGCATAACATTGAAGTACCAGTAGAAAGAACAGTAGTAGTAGTAGTAGTAGTAGTAGTAGTAGTAGTAGTAGTAGTAGTAGTAGTAGTAGTAGCAGCAGCAGCAGCAGGAGCAGGCGTAGCAGTAGAAGTAGGAGTAGCAGTAGCAGCGGCAGTTGCAGTGCGTGACGACCAACATGTAACATCTCCGTGGCTGCTTTACGTGTATGAGCCGGAAACATTTCGCCACATTGCAATCAGTTTTGCCTAAACCCTATACCACCAAACTCTCAAACACCCGAAGCCCCGAACACGCGCTTTCACTGTCAGTCCACGCGCAAAAAGGATGCTGTTGCAGGATGAAGGTCTCTTCAGAGGTTGGGCTTTCCCTAGCTACCCTGAACCCTAGAAGAAAAGGTTTCTTGAAGGTTTTGTGCAAATTTCATGGGGCTTCTGTGCGGATTTAGCTGGGTTTACCACCCTGAAAGCCTGTAATATGGAGAGTACCCTCACAAAGAGTTGACATAGGGCAACCCGATATTCGTGAACTTAACTTGTATTGCACGGAACTCCTACGATTTGCAGCAGCCAAGTCAGGATTGCAGTCGTCATCGGGGCTACGTGCTCATCTTCTAAATATACGGAGCAAGTTGGCAGGCTGAAAGCAGGCCCCATGGCAGCGTTCCGGGTTGCACCCCTTTATCTTTGACCACCAAATTTCTTTTGGGTTGTTCGTGCCCCATAGAACGGAGATCCGAAACTTCGAGCATCGAATAACTAACTCTGGTTTTGGAGCTCAGACTTGCGGCCTCCACCACCTGAACACAATAATTGCGCCAAAAGCCCAACCCCAGCCGGTTTCCAACCCTGGTGGTCGTGAAACTTTCCGGCAGTGGCACACCAAGGGTCCTTTCCTCTAGAATCTAAATGCTGAGGTGATTCCTGAGAAGGGACATGGGGCGTGGCTTAGCCATAGTCTGGACAGGCCCGGGCGCGCGATGAAGACCCTCAGCGAACCCTGGTTTGAGAAGCTTCCGATATCTCAGATCAACCATCCTCCAGCGTCTTGCCTTTCACGAGGTTGCCTTAGCATTGCTTAAAGAAGGCTGTTTTCAAAGCAAAGATGCAGGTTGGGAACTTGCGGCTCAGTCGTCTTTGCAGTTCGGACCCGCGACTTCAAGGTTCCTCTAGAACCGAGAAGAGATTGACCAATTGGGCTCATGGTATATTATCATATGCTAAAATAAACCTCATATGACAAAATATACGATAAAAGAACCCATTGTAATCTAGGATGGCTTGACGCGCCCGGATTTGCTCCAGGGCACTTGTCCTGGAAGTGTCAGAATACAGACCACATCGCAAAGTTGGATCTCAATTATGAAGATTACGAATTGTAGATGTTCTGAGAACGATGCCGAAGTTCATGGAAGCAGGAAGCACTCAATTGGCCTCCGAGCATAAGAATCACAAGATGCAGAAACCATCAAAACGCTACACGACCTCCTGGAGTGACATGGTATTGGGCTAGCAGAAGGCTTTAACAACACAAACATGGCTGCCCACAAAAGCAATACCAAAGCAAAGCCATCCAAGGCGAATTTGATTCCAGAGGCACTCCTTGTCGCACGCAGGGCACTTCTTCTTGCAGATTTGCATGCAGCTGTCAGCATCCTCACTGGTGGCAGTCACAGGTTGTTGAAGAAGCCCTGCAAAGGAGATCCTACAGCCTAAACCCCAAAACCATCAACTCTCAAACCCCTTAGGCGCCGTAGTATCCAAAAACCCTAAACCATATACCCTAAACCTAGACCCTCAAATCCTTCAACGCCAACGGATGTGCTCCGGCTCCTCACAGACGATAGAAGCTCTCAGGGACAAAGGCCACTGAAAAGTCTGGGATGAGACCCGACAGGGTTTATAGGTTTCGGGTATGCCCTTGCAGCTTCCCTAAATCCCCAGCCCTGAACTCTGAACCTTAAGCCCAAGACCATCAATCATGGGTTGTCTTGATGGAGTACAATGCTCTTGCCTTTCTGCGTTTGGGAAGCTAGCGATCTCTGCAATCCAGCTCTGATATCTTGCAGAAGGCTTTGGGACAATCATCTGCTGTAGACTCTGGGTTAAGGGGGCATATTGAGACAACTCCCCGAACAGTGTCTGAAGATTGACTTGACAAGCTTGAAGCTAGAATATGCAGCAGGTGTCCGTACTGGAGACCGTCGCGCCCAACGATCTAGAGATCGCCATGCCATATGCGCAGATGGTATTGATCTCCTCGGAGTCGTTTGCAACTCGCCCTTCTCTCCGCCCTTTCTGCAACTATGATTCTTCATCCGGACGCTCTCGGTTCCTCTTCAATTCCGAACGCTATACACGTGTTGATGGAAGTTCCGCTCCGGCCTCCAGACGATCAGGGATTCATGAGAGCCCCCGAGCTGAGGACTCCTATCTCAAGCAACCCGGAGCCCTGAGAGGAACCCCAGCCTGCACGGCTAAAAGGGTGTAGGGTTTGCAGTCTGACCTGCTTCCAGGCCACGAGGAAGTTCACCCCGTCCAAGAGGTGGGTGTCGGTGATCCATGAGGCCACCTCCTGCGAGCATGAATCGATTCTTTAGGGCCTGTACGGTAGGGTACAAGGCCTTGTAGGCCTCAAGGTGTAGTTATAGCATTGAAGGTTTCGCTTCGTCGCCAAAGCTTGGAAACAAAGCTCTACAGCCAACTCCCAAAACCCTACGGCACTCGACAGGCGCGACCTAAACCCTGCGCCGCCCGATCTGGGCATTCAAGAATTCGTAAACAGCAAGGATTGAAGGAACTGTTGATGTTCTATGTCAGCGGTCAGTATGCACTTGGACCCCTGACTCCCTGCGGTAGCACCTAATATAGCGACGCTAACACCGAAAACAGCGCCCTAACGTCCCGTGCAGGAAAACCAAAAGGAAGGAACCGTAAGGAGAGCAAGGGGAATCAATTCAAGCTTCCATGTTAATGTTTAGCATCTTCCATGGGCTGTTCAAGCTTTGTGGCGGACGCCCTCGGGACCTCCGCTGACACTGACACCGCCTACCCCGACACCGTACACGCCAAACCTAAACCCTGAGTGATAAGAAACCCTGACACCCTGTGAACGTACGCCGCAAAGGAAGTCTAGGTTTTTAAGGATAGGATAGAGGGAGTTGGTGCTAGGGATGTGATGTACGTAGGGTTCTTGTGCAAAGATGCGGGCGTATGATCTTGAGCACCTGTGAGAAGACGTTGCCTTAATTGTTCACGACTTCTGCCACATACTGACTGTACATATCATATGCCCTTGCTTGGTACTTGGAACAACTGGGATCCTACATTGAGGCCCTCCAGATGAGGTTTATTGATCAGGGGCATGTAACATGAATCCAGAGGCCGTCACCCACCATACCAGACTGAAACGTGAAGACACGATAGGAAATAGCCAGTATTTCGAAGATGTCGAGGCAAGGGCCTTGTTGAGTTGGTAGCTCCGCTGTATGAGAAACTTCTGCTGCATGAGGGCCTGGATCTGGAAGAGCTTCCCAGAACCTGTCAGAGCTTCCCAGATCGGTTAAATCATCAAAAGGAAAGAAAGAAACGAAGAAAAGCACCGCCCCGCCTTCCCCCTTCAAAAAAAGGCTGTTCAGAGTTAATGTTACCGAGGGGCTCGGGCTTAGGACGGGAATCGCCGCATTGTCGGGCTGTCGGAAACAGACACCGAAAAAGATACTACAGCCATACCCTCTCATGGGTCAGACAGGTGACCCTAAACTTAAACTGCTGAATCCCAAACCAGGCCCTGTTACTTGTTCATCCGGCATCCTACTGCCCATAAGAGCCTCACGAAGCCATTCACGACTGCCAACGGTTTCTTCGAACCTCTGAAGTGTTGCCCTTCTGGCACAAAAACAGGAAGACTCCCAGCTACACAGACCCTGTAACTGTAAGTCGTTACAGTTTGTAGTTTCCTACACACCCAAGTACCCTAAACCGATTGCGAAGTACCATGCCGGCTCTTTGACATTGGGGGCGTTGACGCATGAAGTTTGCTTGAACCCCTAAGCCTGAAGCCTACACCCCGAAAACCCCAAATGAAGCTGCAGAGCATCATCTGGAACTTGCTTCTCAACAACCAAAGTAAAAAGGCTGAGTATTGTAGAGTTAAAGACGCTGTTGCAACATGTCCACATGCAACGACGATGTCATGAGAACTCGGACACCGTCTCAACTACGCTGTGCACAGGCTGTCGAATTGCAAGTCCAAGGACCAGCGAGTTGAGGTTCTTGATTTAAAGACGTAGGGTTTCGACACTTAGCCTTGTCCAGGATTTGGGGGTTCTGGGTTTGGGGGCTCGAGGGATTGAGGGTGACGCCGGAGCCCTCCTGCCTTGCATCTGCTTCATTGTCTCTGCTACATACCTCGGATGTGGCTGGGCCTTCGTAACTTCGTCATAAGACCAGTCCATATAACGCAGGTTCGGGAGGTAGGCCTTCGGGCACCCAAAGCCGGGTCCCAGACCCGCAGCCCCTGCAGCTAGGCAACGGATTTTGGTTTAAAGTCTATCCCGACCCTTCTCAGAAGCTAAAGGGGTCTTCAATGGCGTCCTGGAGCGACTGGGGTGTTCAACCAAAGCCCCAAAACCTGGACCCCGCAACCCCAGGAGCACTCAAAATGGAGGGATGGCCCTAAACGTGGCAACCTGAAGCCCTAGCCGTGGGCTCCTAGACCCTCCAACTCTCTATACCGTGCAGGCCCGAAGTTTGTTCAAGGGCAAGCTGCGGCTGGACCTGCTCCGCCGAGGTGACATCACTCTTCCAGTTGGTCTCCACACAGTCAAGGTCGATGGCCAGCAGGTGCCCCCCGTTCCTTAAGGCACCTGGCTGCTTCTGCATCTTAGCCTCCAGGAACCCGTAGGGACCACAACACACTAAGTCCTCGAAAAACCTTATCTGGGCCCAGAACCTGATAACTCACACAACAACCCTTTCCCCTCCACAGCCTCAAACCTCAACCCTTCTGCCCTAGGGCTACACAATTTAACCCGACGCTCTACGACTGTTTGCATCCTGCTCATGGAGTGCTTGCGGAATCAGGTAGTGGGATCTGATTCCGGACCCCGGGTATTACGTGGCATCAAGACTTGTGTGGGTCTGGACGCTTCGATCCGGGAGAGGCTCAGCTTCGCCAAACAAAAAGCACCCTACGAATATCTATTTCAGTCCTTGCTGCACCACCAGCATGCAACATGCTTCTTTCCAGGGCACTGGCTTTCATCGCCTGGGCCAGGGTCATGTTGCGAAGCTTGTCGCACTTCGTTTCCTGGGCGATGGCTGAGACAGGGTGGGCCTTGAACTGCCATAGCTTTAGGATCTTACGAGCCGAGGCATGCACGATTGGCAAGGCCCCTAGAAAGGCATGTTCGGGTAGTTTCGGTAGGCATCAAGCTCTCGCAACCAAGATCGAAGCCTGAACTCCTGCAGGAAGACTAGAGCTCATGACTTCCCTACCACATACCAATCTGATCATCCCCCCTCAATCCTGAACCGGACACCCATAGATGCAGCTCGGCAAGGCCGTCCGATAACCCCGGCTCAAATTATCAAGCACTGACACACCCACCCCTCATCCTTCTTTCAGAAGCTTGGACCCTGCAAAACCATCAAGCCTGGGTATGTAAACGAAACGCAAAACTTACCACACAACCTGCCTTTTCGAAATGACATGAACCCATAGTGTCATTCATCGCGACATTCAAAAAGAATCTTTGGTTTAAGCCCTGCTACCGCAAAGCCGAGACAGACTTGCTCCGAGACTCAAAGGCAACACCCTGAGCGGTGAAGGGCTTCACAAACCTTGCAACCATTCTACCGTTCAGGAGCAACAAAAGGCGTGATTTTGGAAGCTTCTACATTTGTGGCTTCGGGTTTCGCAGTCAGGCTTGGACAGTTCACCCGTTCCCCACCGGTCTACATCCTGGGATCCTAGGAGGCCCCGCACCAAGGTCGAGGGTTTCGCATCGACATGCCCATCGAAAGCGGTTGTGTGCAACGAGGTCTCACCGTTTGTGAGTTGCGAGTTTGCTTGCCTGCTGCTGCCGGGCATACCTTTCATGGATGTTCCAGCAAGCGCGGAAGTTCTAACATGAGCGCGAGAAGTGAGATTGAGATTACTTTGCATCCATGGATCCTGGAAATCGGACATACGTGTCAGAAACGTAACCTACGCCGAGGCAAAGTATACGCATTATCTTTGGCAGACTCAGGCCGTCTCTTTCGGCGGGATAAGCTGGATGTCGCCGGCACAGAGAAGGATTCAGGTTGCTGTCCACCAGGTGCATACTCAAGAAAACAAGGGTGCCAGAAACCAACAGTCTATGTCAGGTCCTAGTCGTAGCTTCCCTAGCGTTGAGCTATGGTTTACCACAGAACCCTCTCTGGAAAACGACGCGTCTTGAATCCCCAAAGCCTGAACTCGTTCATGCAGACATCTGAATAAGCAGAATATTCCTTAAAGTCCTGAATATTAGCATCGCTCTCATTCTTGGTCCTGTCTCATAAAAGTCCAAGAAGGGGTCGGATCATCAGGCAGAGGTCTGCATTGGGCTCAGCCCTGCAAAGCCCTTCCCCCTTGTCCGAAGAGCTTTCAACCGGGGCCATTTGACAAAAGAGCAATCGTATCATCTGGGGTTCCCGAATGCCAAGTATAATTAACGTCGAAAGCCCCACAAGACTCTGGTCGAAGTGTTCAGGGACCTATCTTTTGGGTCAAGGGGTTTGAGGCTTGAGGCGCTTCGGGCTTCGATCTCAGAACCCTCTAAACGCTGATTGGAAACCCCACCAAACCCTCAAGAAAACTCGATACGCACCTCTGACGTCTGACACCCCAGTAGCCCTAGGCCGAAAAGCCGGAAGTATACAAGGGAGTTTCCGAAAATAGGGGTACCTTATTTTGGGGTCCTTATAATAAGGATCCTACTATTTAGGGTACTATATTAGGGTCCCCTATTTTTGGAAACTCCCACAAGACGCCGAAGGGCTCTTCGTCCGAACAAGGCTTCGAGGAGTACTCGATCCAGCCCTTCTCGGCGCAGTGCCCGACCACGAGGACAACAACTGGGTGGTTGTCAAAATTAGGGTCCCTTTCCGGATACCTTAAATAATAGGTGCCGTATAATAATACAGACCCAACAAGTGACCATAATTTTGACAACCACCCAACTGCACCCAGGAATCCAGGAGCATGTTGATAACCGCACATCAGGCATAATAATCCCTACATCGCATGCTTGAAAGCCGGCATGGCCAACACTACTGTATGATTGAGGTTCAAGGACTCGGGCACAATATTTCGTCACTGGGCCGCATAGAGTTGAAGGACAAGCAGCATAATATAAACCCTGCGTCATTCGGACGGCATGTCGCTTGGGACACAATGCACCCCTATGCCTCAAACTAATGTTTCCACGAAAACTCGCAGTCTTGGTTGCATATCATGGGGTTTCATTAACAGGCCCGCGTCCGAAGCTCAGAAAACCCTGAATGAAGAAGTCCTCACCACGAATGGCTGCGAAAGGGACCCTGCACATGCGATTATCGACCAAGCTTCGCTTTTGCCTGTTCAGGTCTCACGCTTTCGGTTCAAACTTTGGCATTTAGCGATGGAAAGGTCGCTGGTTTAGGGGCGAACTCAGCCAAGGGGCACTGGCTCGGGTGCTCCCCCGCCCATTCAACCTGGTGCACCGGAGAATGGAATCTCGCTTGTTTTGGGGAGGCACTGGTGATTTGCTGTGAAAGCCCCGGTCTTTGCATAGGACTGTCAGCGGCATAGGAGTCTGAAGTGTGCAAAGCTGCGCAAAAAAGATGACATGTTCGAAGTCTGATGCTCAAATCTAACAGCTGGGCTGCCTGAAAGCAGCGCATTAGATGAAAAGCGGAAAGTCTAACCCATGTCCGGTGTAGCCAATCTAAGCACGGCATTGCACAGTAGCGTGTGACACGGCATTACACAATCAGTATAGCAGGCCACAACATAGCACAGTCGGACCTAATTCACTCGCCGAAGATTGCTGCGTTGAGCTTGCAAGCTGTTTCATGGAGCTTAAGGGATTTAGCTGCTGACGAGTAGCAGCCGGGTGCAATTAAATGCCGCCGAATGCAAACCAGGAACTGGGATCTGATCCGGTAGCTTCGAAAAAGGATACTGTGTGCGATAAACGAGTTCCTCCACAAGAACCCAGGCATGGAACGGTAACACAACAGAGTATGATGTAATTTAGCACACAGTGGGATAACACAATCTTCAACATTCTAGCTTGAAGGTGTCATGCCCCGGTAGCTGCCATGAAATTAGCATGCTGGCATGTGTGCACCTATGCCAGAGAGGCAATTGTATATCAGGTCAAGCACTGCATGGCCCCAATATGCAGTCACGTCCTGCCAGATCATGCATTTGTAAGTCACAGCGTTTTCGTAATCTTGGGTTCTGTATGTCTCAAACGCCTCCCAAGGCTTGTACACCGATCCTCAGAGATCCGAGTCCCTAAACCCGGGACCCCTGGCATCTCTGCGCCGGAAACATTCGGAGAATATCTTCACCCCAAGTGCATGTGAGCCTCTTAGACTCATGATCAAAATGGCTGACTTCAAACATCACTCAAGGTTTACATTGTACCAACGATTAAAAATCATGCTCAAGGAGCACCCATATAACGCCAAAATTTAAAACCTTTAACCCCAAACCCCGAAACCCAAGAATCTCCAACCCGGGGCCAGGCAACCAGCCCGGGAAGCTCTCCACTCAATGTCTGGCTGGAGACCCAGTTCTTGGGCAACAGAAACGGCATGGGTTTCGGGTTTGGGATCGGGATTTTCGGGTTGTGGGGTTGGAATTTTTCGGTGTTTGCGGTTTTGGATTTAAGGCTGGGGGGTGTAGGGTATGGAATCTTAAACTCTCGCTTTTAGGCCCTTTGAGGCTTTAAGGCTTGGAGCGTTCAGGGATTGAGGGGCTCAGGCTTGGTACTTTGAGGTATTAGGCTGCTCGGGATGGCGTTTCTGGAGTTGGGAAAATTCTGGCTCATGTCATGTGTGGTGGCTAGCAAGCTAGGGTCGCACGTAGCACCTGCCACAAAAGGACATACGCCGGTAATCTCACGAGCCCGTGGTCTTGCCTCTGAAATGCTGAAGCATCAAGTCGACTATCTTCCGGGCTGATCAGGCGATTTTCGGTGCGGTGGCACTGGCTCTGGTGAGGTCCTGGTGCGGGGGTCTCTTGCTGGCTGCTGGGCTGGGGGCATTATCCTGAAACCTTCCCATCCCAAGCTGGCTCAGCAACGGGGCATCGCGCATGCCTTCCACGGGTGCAGTGAGAGTTGAAGGCGTGGGAGCTGACAGCACGCAAAAAGGTTTAGGCCCTCAGCATGTTGCCCTGAGACCCTAAAAGCCCGAAAAATCCGAAACCTGATCCCAAACCCTCAGGCCTGAGGCCTTTACCTGTGAACCCCGAAACCCCTATCCCTACAACCTGAACCACTACCCCAAACCCAAACCCTAGAACCTCAGATCTGAGTTGATGCAAGGCAGCCAAGATGGCAGTTTCCCCATGGTGGAAGTGGATCCTCGGTTTAAGGCTCAAGGTTCAAGGTTTGGTTGTTTAGGGCTTACGGCTGAGGGCTTAAGGTTTCGGGCTCAGGTGGGTTTAGGGTTCAGGGCTTGGGTGCTAGGCTGATAGGGTTTAGGGTAATTGGGCTTTAGACAAACAGAAAGGTAAAGAAATCAATGTTGGAAATGGCTCTTGGAAGAGGGTCCCGGGAGTCATGACTGATAGCAGGATACTTGCAGTAGTCCGTGGTCAGGTGGGTGCCATTGATCGAGGATCCAAATTTTAACAGCCAATATCCTTCAGTTCCCAACTTGCCGCCATCCTGCACGCAAGGGCTGCAATTATTCTGCACTACCTACAGAAGAACGGGAAAAAGTCTTGAGGCCCGGCTTGAACACCTTACAAAACCTCATAAAGCAAATCAAAAACGAATCTAGACTGGCTGCAAACCCCGAACCCCATAACCCCAGAACCCACGATATGCCCTGGAAACCTAAATCCCACAAGATCTAAATGTACCCAGAGCCTCCAGCCGAGATTTCAACCCTCAACTCTAAAACAGCCTGAATCCTGCAACCCATGAGCCCAAAGCGCTAAACCTCAACTCCGCAAACCCGACACCACCCTGCGCCCTAAGCTTCGAAACCTGAGCTTCACACGGAAGCCGGAACTCCCCCAAACCTGAACCCCCACCTGACAGCCCTAAAACACGAAACTACCAAAATCTGAACCTAAAACCCCAGAGCCCTACAGCCCTCGAATTCCAAGGCCAACTGCAGCCTTGTCCTACACACAAGAACCCTTTGGCACTAAACCCAAAAACCTGCAGCCCAAACAGAAAAAACGAAACCCTGAACCTCCAGCAACCTAAACCCGAAACTCTAAGCCTAGAACACCAAATCCTAAACCGAACCGAAAGCCCTTCGCCCCTAAAACATCTGCGCAGCCATGTCGCTCGCCACTGGTTTTCACCAGTCGGAGATCAAAGGATCGCGCCCCGCAGTCCAACTGCTCCTTGAGGCCAACTGCCTGTGCCTGCTCGAAGTCGTTTTGCATTGGGGATTAGGGCTTTGGGTATATCAAGAGTTTGGGGGTGTAACAACAACTAAAGTAAGTAAAACCTTCAATAATGAAAAAACCCACTTACAGCCTTGTAAATCTCTCCCCCTGCGCTACACTACGGGGCTAAGGGCCGGCCCGGAGAACGGGCCGAAGCCTTTGATGGTGTCTGGGACTTTAGGGTTGAGGGCTTCGGGATTGAGGTTAGGCCATTGGGGGTTAGCCAAACAGCTCATTGCTACCACGGTAGGAAATGCTGCTGAGGTCATAACAAGCTAGAAAACACTTTGGATCAGAGTGTCTACTGGGCTTTCTGGGTATGGGGTTGAATCCGAGTTGAAGCCTGATAGAATCATAGCCGAAGCTGCCGACTGCCCCATGGCAGGAACTTAGATTTTCTGCCAGTGCAGCGCTGTAATTATCCTACGAGTTATCAACATTGTACTTTGCTGGCCACCGCAGTTCTTGCGCTGTTGAAGCTATAATTAGCCATGTTATGTTGAGAACCTTTGCATTTGCTGCAACGCCGCCTTCCTGCCATTATGCCTTGTGTACTCTCCAAGTCGTCAGTGCCTATAAAACCATCGACCCCTCACGCCAACCACAAGCCGCGCAACCAATCCTGGAAGCTCTGGGGATTCCCTCCTAAGGTTCAGGCTCTTTGTGTCTGTGGCCCAAGGCATGTCATAGCCAATCCAGAGCAGACTTTGCTGTCAGGATCAATCCCTAAGTCCTCAAGGCTTGGGGGCGTCGTTCCTAAGCCGTTCCATGCAGAACCTCAGCGGGCTTTTGCTCCGGGTTTTCAATTTGGAGCTCGGGATTTGGAGTCGTGGGCTTAGGCAGAGTTTGCGAGCCTCTAAACCTCGAACCCTAAGACGACGCCTGCCCAAAGGCGTGGTCGAAAAGATCGTAGCCACTGATAAAGCCAGTCGCAGAGTCGTGCGTCATCAGGAAAGGTGACTCTGACAGCCTCAGCACCATCAAAACCCCTGATCCCTAACCTCCTAAGCCCTAAACTTGATGATGCCTCCAGCAAAGAGCCAGAACACTCTGTCCCAGCGGAGCCTAGACACACAACTCCACAACCTAAACCCAGCCCTAAGCATCACGCCACAAACCCCGAAAGACCGCCCCGCTTTGTTTAAATCCAAAGGCAGTTTTGTTTCCCACCTCAAGGTTTATCGCCTGAAAACCCAGCAGCTTAAAACGCCAAGCCTGAAACCGCAAACCCTCAAATCCTGAAACGTGAAATTCTAGAATCACAAACCCTCAAACCCAAAGTTTAAACCCTAAATCCGTGTGCCACAAAAGCCCGAAAATGCTATTGCATCCACATTGCCCAAACGAAAAATTCTCAAACTTGGAGCTTTGAATGGCTCAGGTTGTGGAGCCGCAGGTCTTTTCGGCTTTTTCATACTCGTGTCCATGACTTTGTGTTTTCGGGAGTGGGAGTTCAGGCTGGGGGGTTTTGGGGGCTTGAAAGCCTTTGGGTTTGGGGTGCTTCGGGCTTCGCCTGAAAGCGCTAAGCTTTAGCGGTGTCGGGCTTTGGGACTAAACTTGAGAGGACTTCGGGCCTCAGGGTCCTAAACCCTGAACCCCAAAACCTAAGCCGGGATGCTTTGAACTTGGATCCGGCTTAAGAGGGCCGGCTGCACCAAGAGCAATGTCGCCTCGCTTGGCCGTGATAAGAGGCTGCAGTCTTAGAACTTGAGGCTTGCAATCCAGAGCGGGCAATCGTCCTGTGTGTATATCCTGTGTATATATATATATATATATATGTATATATGTAGGTACCTATATTCGTGTATATACATATGTGAATATATGTACATATATAGTATACATGTGTGTATATATATATACATACATATGGAAGGTGCTATTTTAAATGACCGTGAGGAAAGACAAAATAGTAGGATCTCTTAATAAAGGCATCCTGGTACTTCTGAACCCCGTCAACATGTACAGGGTTCCCTCCAGCTTCTGTATTCTCAAACTTCCGGAGCAGAGGAACCGAAGGGTTAACCACTGTAAGTCAACCATTATATATCAAGACCCTACAGTACAAAGCCAGCACATGAAACCCTCTCAAGCCTTTCCAAATCCTACAAGTATCGGTAAGTTCCAAAGTGACACTGTCACATTAACACTGGTGTGTCCCAGAAACGCCTGTTGACAGTTTGAGGTACATCCTATAACCCTAAACCCTAAATCCCTAAACCCTTACTTATAGGTTTAGAGTATGCAGCAGCGACATCCTAAACTCCAAAAGCCCAGCAACCCCTACAAAGTCGGAAACCGAAACCCTCAAGCCCCCATAGCTGCTAGTAGAAGTCCGAACACCGAAGCCCTAAACCTCAATCCTGAAAAGCCCTAAAACCCAACAGCTCCAATCCTTAGAAGTCAAACACCCGAAATCCCTACACCCTACACTCGCGGACCTTATCAGAAACCACGAAACCTGAACCCATCCGGTGCTAGAAGGGCACAAGAGCACGCCCAAGTCGGTTCTCCGAGCTGTCGGCGTCGCTCGCAGGGCTTGCCTCAACGTGCGTGGGGCTTTGGCTTGGAGCTAGGTCTAGGGTATCTGTCTAGGGTAACTTATACTCTATCTGTATACATGTATACACACCTGTATACACAAAAACATACATATGCATATATGTACACATGTATTCATGTAAGCGTGTATGTATGTCTGTCTGTCTTTCTGTCTGCCTGTATGTATGTACGTATGTATGTATGTATGTACGTATGTACGTATGTACGTATGTACGTATGTACGTATGTATGTATGTATGTATGTATGTGAGAATGCATCTATGTAGGTGGGCAGGGAGGTAGGTAGGTAGGTAGGTAAGTAGGTAGGTAGGTTGAAAGGCAGGTAGGTAGATACCTAGATAGGTAGGCAGGTAGGTATGTATATACATATATGTAGAAATATGTACATACTTATGTATGTATGTGTGTGTATATATATATATATACATATATATACATACATTTCTATATATATATATATATATACAAGACTATTTACGCGTGCTAATCATTCAGACTCGCATTGAGAAACGACTCCTGGGACTTGCTGATAGGTTAGAAAGAAGGTTGTAAGTCCGCTTGTAGTTCGGGGCAGCAAAGACTTTTGAACTTGCTTACAACCTACTGCCTAACTCTCCCGAACATACAAGTTCCAAACCTCTAAACCCTAATTTTACATGAGTGTAGCTATGTCTTGTGGACTTCATGGTTCTTTCGTTTGGAGGTAATGGTGTGCGGGGGCAGAGGGTCTGCAGCTTACCAGGCTTGAAAGATTGAGAGTTTCAGGTTCAGGGCTCTATAGTCTGCATCTCAGAGGTGGGGTTGAGGACTGCCAAACACTTGGCATCTCAGTATCCTGATGCCCATAAATGACAAGGATATGTAGACAGGGGTGTCATCCTTATATACTCCATGCTGCAAGCTCTGAAGGTCCATGACGGGTTTCGGCATTCTACATAAGGCATCTGGCAAAACTCTTGTAGGCTGTTCTGGCTTGCGGATATTTCACTGGCAGGGTCAAGGCCTTCAGACTTGAAGGAAACTTGTGAATACCGTTTTACGGATTGGTTCTGGATAGCTCAGGGTCTCGAATTACGTTACTACCAGATGTACCTGGCACCCAGGTGCTTGTTCGGTTGGAGAAGCACAGCCCGCCCAGCATGCCACAGGCCTGCTGCAAACATTATACTCAGGAGTCAGGTTCGGGTTCAGACGGTGCACTGCAACGAGATGGAAACTCCCTGACTTGACCGCAACGGCTTTCTTCGTCTTGGATTACTCGGAGCTTCCAGATTTAGAGCTCCGCTCGGATCTTAAGCTTGGGGTGTCAGCCGTGGTTTTTGGGTTTAGCGCTTAGCGGTTTAGGGTTGTTGGGGTCGGGGCGCAGGTTTGTGGGAAGGGGGAGCCATGCCGCTGACAAACACAATCAACGCTTCGAAGGGTCCAGAAACCCATGCGCATTCGACTTTATCCGAGGCATGGGGCAAATGTCAAGCCGCATCTGCTAAGGTTTTTGCAATGCAGCTCTCCAGGAATTGAGCTCCTTGATGAGAAGATGTGTTCGTCAACTGAGAACTTTGAAGCACGGTTCTGTCGTGCGGCTACTACTATTAACTTTACTGGTGCTTGCAAAGTCTGTCACCGATCTTGGGGACATCTGGCAATGGATTTAGAATAAAGACCCTTCTATATAGCCTGGCTAGACAGTAGAGCGCTCCGAGGACCTTCGAAAAATCTCGTAAAGTGACGAACACAGCCTCGGTGCAGGTGTAGTTTGCCGCAACATTCGTCTCCTCCCGGCGAGCAAGCTCCTCTGAAGCAGCTTCGCTCGACGTGTGTTCAAGGCTTGGGATACGGGAGTTTTTGGAATGGCACTAGGCATTCTAGCGGGCATTTGTAGCTGACCGAAACCAGCAGCAAATACACACAATTTGCCGATTTGCCTGTGTATACATATATATATATATATATATATTTATTTATACATGTATATATTTATATATTTATATATTTATATATTTATAGATTTTTATTCATTTATATACACTAGTCTATTCGCTTGTAGGTTTGTGTCTGTATATGTATCCATACAGATGTACATGTATTTCTTCAGATGACTATATGGATTACTTGTTCTTTCTATCTACATACGTTTGTGCTTGCTTGACTATCTTTCATTCATCTAACTGCGGATTTGCTTCTGTACCTGTAACTACCGGGATATCTGTTCTTCAGCCCCTATCAGTGACAGTCATCACGCTCCTTAAAACAGAAGCCAGACTTTGAACTCCTTTGAATGTACATCAATGCATCAACAGAAGGAACGCCTGTCCTTCGCCTTGTATGCACGTAAGGGTCACCTAGATCATGTTCTTCAGTGGCGACACTGGATGAAGAAATCCCGTTTATGTAAGGGCCGCAATCTGAGGCTTCCTGTCGTCATCGTTTAACCAGAAGAAGACATTAACAACAGCCCAAGAAAATGCAGCAAAGAACGACCTACCTAAACCACGGATGCCCCCGAATCATCCTACGTTTTGGAGGTTCAGGGTTCAGGCTTTGGGATTTTACCTTAAGGTGAATTGGATCTTTGTATCCCTGAAATCGAAAGTTTCGAAAGAGCTGTTTCTGACTTGGGCATGCATGAGGTCTTAACCTGTCGATGCGAAGGCTAAGCCCAATAAGATTCTTCCAAGCCCACAAGCTTGAACATCACGGCCATATGGCCTTGTGACCTCCACTACTCTCCTCCCCTCAACTCCAGATCTACCCTAAACCCTTCAAACCCTATACCCTAAACCCTAAACCTATTCCTCGTAAGGCCCGCTGCCTGGATGTTGATCGGCAGCAAGCCTGTCGTTTCCGGCTCGAGGAGCGGGACGTCGGACCGATCCTAACAGTCGATGGCCAAATTCAAAAATCAAAGACAGAACTGGGTGGACCATAAAGTCAACCCTACATGCGTTGAGCTTATCGGGTCGGGGCCTTGGGAGTTAGGATTTAAGATCTATGTATGGCTTCCGGTCAATGTCTCTCGAGCTTCATGGTTTAGGCCCCTCGAGGCATTTGGGATCCTCACTGGGGGGCAGCTTAGTAGCGGCTCTGCGCGGCCTCCACCCGCTCAGGGCAGGGAGAGCTCCGGAGCCGCTCAGCTGTGTCGGTTTTGGGAGCCTGAAGAAGCGTAAAAAAACCACAGGCCTGCTGTTACCCTTTCGACGGCGCTCCAGCGCGAGAAGTGATGCTCTGGGCGAAGGTAAGCGCAGTCTTCGGTGGCAACTTTTGCGATCCTTCTGAATGTCTTTTCCGCTTACTCCCTGACCCGCCAGAGAATCCTTTAGACGCTTCTCGTCTTCGGCAACTCGAAGGCACAGTTACATAGGGGCAGTCGTTCATCTCAAGGCACTCGG